AATAGTTAAGGATGTGGGTTGTTCTAGTTTTAGGGAAATGCGAAGATTAGCTCAGGATAGGAAAGAGTGGAGGTACGTGTCCAACCAGTCTTAGGACTGACGACCTTATGATGATGATGATGATGATGATGATGATTTAAAAGATGTAATTCTATTTTTTATCTTTCTGAAAAGCAATAGGAACAATAAATCAAACCAAAAATTTTTTATTTCGATAACATTAGTTGACTCTCTCCTCTATCTTAATTAAAGTTGCCTGTTTTCCGAGCATCGACCTACGCCAGTTTTAGGAAACGTATTATGAAGTAGGTATTTGATAAAGTTTATATAAAAAAATGAGCACCTTTGTTTCTAATCTCAAAAGAAAAACGTTGGTTATAGATAGATAGATAATAGCTTTGTTAACAAAATTGTTATTCTTATCTACATTAGATACGTGTGTGTGTTCGTTCTTCTTCTCTCTTCTCTTTTTTATGTGTCAGTATCGTGCTCTTCGTTTTCTTCCCTTTTTTTTTCCTTCTTTTTCCTTGTCCATATTATATTCCACATTCTTGCATGAGCTCCTGGGCCCGTGATCTGGTGTATCCAACTTTCGTGCTCTTTTTCCATGTACTCACATTTTTCTAGAACATCTTGTAGTGTTTCCTCCTCTTTCTTGCATACATCTCCAATTCGTTTCTGCGTTTGTGTCCATCTTTCTTTAAGTAGATTGCTTCCCTCTTTTCTAATTTTTTCCTCGTATTTTATCACCCTTTTTCTTGTCTTATTTGCTATCATTTCTTTGCCTGTTTCTAATTTTAGTAGGTAGCTTGGTGTTATTTGATCAAACCTGAGAATCCATTTTATAAAACGTTGATTATATATAATTATAGTTGTAAAAATGTTCACAAGTCCCATGAAAATAAGTAAATATTCTTTGTCCCTAGAGGATGCCAAAAATCCCTCGAATCGCGGTATATCTATCAGGGTGGCAACACTGGGGTGAATAGTCGAAGCGTTTAATTACGGAAAAAGTAAATTCTTTCTCGTGTCAACATTTCAATGAAAATTTAATGAAAACTCTGGTCAATATTCTTGGATTTATTTGCAAATTAGGCCAATAAAGACTATATACAGTAATATTTTAAGGTCTCTATTATAGCAAAAAAATAATAAACTAGTAATATTCGTAAGTCGAACAAGAAAACTCTGCCCACATTTGGTTTTCTCGATTTTCCGGAAGAAGTACCTACATGAACGACATTGTTAGATCTAAGATACGGAAGTGCAAGAGATTGAATTTTTCAATACTAGACTTAGCCTAAATGAAAACGACAACGTTTTATACTTGATTTAATCAAAACAGTTGCACTGCAGTATGAATTGCTTTCTCGAAATTTATATTCTTGCATATTCAACAATTTATTTATATATGAATCTTGTTGCAAAGCGTGGAATGAGGTGCTTCCATCTCCTATGCTGGAAGCCGACTTCGGAGATGGAAGAGCCTCTGACGACATCGGGGATGCTCCAAAGATCGATTGCAGGACCAATATTATTCCTCGTGTTTATAAACTAATGATCTATGCTGTTAGTTGCGATTTATACAAAACTATTTGCTCCTATAAATTTGCTCCTGGAGCTTATAAGTTTTAAGGAGATCTAGATAATATCATCCAATGGTCAACTGTACACAATATGAGAGTTTTGCAGTACGCTTCGTTATAGTAAATGAAAAAAAGCCTCTCAAATTGCTTTGTAAATAAAGCCGATAAGGTAGTTGGCTTTGGTGATATCTTCAATAAGTTTTTAATTAAAACTAGATCGGAGTAGTTGTATCAAAAACGCAAAAACTACCCAATCGGTTTCATTTTCATGTGTTAAAAAAAAATAAAAATTCGCAATTAATGAATGTTCAGTGAAGAATTTATTAAATAGAGGTACTATGTATCAAAAAGAAACTTATTCTAAATTTTCTTTCTATGTCTCCGAAAGATATCCCAGTGTGGTTTCCTGAGAAAACAGTGACGTAATAGAGTAACCAGGGGTAGATGATACCGGAACGCAATAAAGCAGCGTATTCCATATCTATGAGCAGTACGCCATAAGCAGTTTCGTGACGGCCGTCAAAACAATAGTACCTTGTAGTACAACGTTTTCTGACAGTGGTGAGTGGTGACGGACGCCTTTAAATTGTTTGGAGACATTTAAGGTAGGAACATTCGTATCTTTTGTAATTACAATAGGACTAGCGTGAATATTATAAACTTTAAATGTATGTATTTTAATATTGTCATTCTTGTTGTCTTTTCCATATAAACATTAATAATAGTAATTATTCACACCCATAGACAAAGAGAATGAACTGCGCATTCTCAATCTTAATGGCCTGAACTTTTGAAATTTGTTTGATCCCGGCATTTATAATTTCAAAACCTGATAACTATAAATGAACTTATAGGAATAATCTGGAATAAAATCAGTTATAATTAAACTTTTATTCCTATTTAAATATTGACGTTTATTTATAAAAATACAACAGAAACGGAAGTTAGGAGGGGTAGAGGTAGACCTAGATTAGATTACTGTTCGCAAATGGTTAAGGATGTGGGATGTTCTAGTTTTAGGGAAATGCGAAGATTAGCTTAGGATAGGAAAGAGTAGAGTGACTGGCGACCATATAATGATCATGAGTCAGAATGTTTATATTTAACAAAATATTCCATTGACATAACAAGCGTTTGCGTCCTTTTTGTTCATTTTTACCCCCTCCACGCCTAGCCTGACGTCACGGTCGTTAGCCATCTTTGACAGCTGTTACCGTCAGTCAGGGCTCCGTCCCCAGAGGCTCCCTTAATCTGTTGCTTCTTCATCACAAGGTACTCTTCTGTGGCTGGTTGACGATTACAACTGTCAAAGATGGATTAGGATCGTGACGTCAGAATAGGCGTGGATAGGGTAAAAGTGAACAAAAAGGGCGAAAATGAACCTTCATCAAAAACACGGGGGATTTTGAGGCCGAACTGTGATAACATATCTATTACAGTATCTTGAAATACAAAAGCTGGTTTTACACGATCGATGGAAACCTTCATTGGTTTATCACGACTTCTCAGTGTGACCAGTGTATGGTATTTGAAAAACTTTGAGAATTGGCCCCTCTTTCAAACACGCGTGACTGCAATTCGACAATTCTTTGAAAACAAAAACTCCAGGTTGACAATGCCTTGATGCTGAAGCCGGTCGTAAGCGTGACATGATTTCTAGCAGACTTGAGAGGAAACTTTCTGGATCGTTAAGACTTTGTTTTCAAAACTTAAAAATGAAAGCCCATGAAGCAGGCGAAGAGTTTCTCCATATACCAATTCAACTGAATTGTTGTCTTCCTTAAAAGCTGAACGAATTCCAAAAAGCACAAAAGGTAAAGCATGAACTCCGTTGATATCGGAATGAGTTATAAGTGCAACTTTTAATTAACGATGTATAGGTTCGCCTGAAACATTTGAAACGGTATGCCAGCTCGTAATGTGATTATGTTAAGGTCACGTTAAGGTTAAATCAAAAGGAAAAATCCATCAGTCCAAAACCACATGAATCACAGAATCTGCATTAATATTTCGTAGAGGAAATCGAGTAAAACGATCGATGACAGTTAAGCAATACCGAAAAGAATGAGCAGGTAGAAGTCAGATCTTCAATCAGATCGATTTAAACGATCCAAGAAGAGCATGAACATGACGAGAGTTTTCTTCAATGATTTTCTTGAGCTCTTCTTCCTCTTCTTGAGATTGAACCAACAACTTGTAATAAAGAGGTGTGGAAACAAGAAACAAGAGGACATTTTCTTGGAAGAGAATGCAACAAGCTATAGAAGAAATACAGTTTTTGTAGGTTTGAAAAGCTTCTTCTAATTCAGACGTCCAGGTAATTGGTTGAAAACTTTTTTTAAAGTTGCGTCATGTAATGAAGCTTCGTATTCAGAGGCGTAAGGTATAAATCTGCGGTAAAAACGGCGGAGACCTTGAACCGTTTTCGGCAAAGGGAGGGTCTTAATTGCCTGAACACGTTCGTCAGGAGTTGGAATGTTAGCAGCAGAGATGGTGTAACCGACAAAAATGATGATCATTCCGTTTTTTGCGAGTCGTTCGACAATTATTCTAAGATGACATTCATATTCTTCTTTAGAACGATAGAAAACGAGAATATCATCCATATAGACAAAACAGAAAACTAAACCACGTAAAACTTCGTCCATGAACCTTTGAATGGTTTGGACGGCATTTCGAAGGCTGAACAGAATAACTATTCGGAATAGTTTGAGCATTCAACGCGGAAAAATCTCCACAGGGGCGCCAAAGCAAATTACTTTTCAGTCCTAAGTGTAAAGGAGCTGACTAAGAACTCTCAAATGAACTTGGATCTCCTTGTAACCGGGAGTACAGGAATCGTGCGAATGTGAAGAACCGTTTGATTTGATGCTTAATTATTCTAAGCGAACCAGTTGGACGACTAATTTCAGGAAACTCAGAAATATGAACAGAGAAAGACGAAGAATTTTGAGCAGCTTTAACGCTATTCTACGAAGAAGGTAAACCTTGAACTTTAAGTCCGCTAGAAACGTCGACGATATCCTAAAAGGTGATAATGAGCGGCAAATCAACATCAGCAAAGATGAATCTCCACAAGATATTACATGGATGTCCTAAGTTGAGATTTAAGGTTAGAAATCCGTATGTTTTGATTCTGCTTCCGTTTGTGGCGCACTATTCATGGTTGACCGGAGAAACCGAAACTGCAAGGGTTTTGCTAAAACTTTGCATGATACCAGCACACGGTCCACATTTTGCTGTGAGGTTTCTTTTGTAGCCGACTTGCTTATTTGTCTAAAATTGAGGTTAGAACTGCTAGAATGAAAACGAGACATTGACAATTCAGATTATTTGCAATCTGGTATAAAATTAATTAGAATTGGAGTTTTATTCATATTTAAATATTGACGTTTATTATTACTATCATCTTCTGGGATTTATAGTACAGCTTCGCACGGGTGCAATGCTAATACTAAATATGTACATTTTTGTTTTGTTTAGATTATTATCGAAAAGGGGAAATCTTCAAAAGATACCCCCTGAACATACTAAATATACTACAGAATGTCTTTATATACGACATTCACAGTTTTTTTGTCATTAGACAATACAAACCAGCCTCCCGGCCGGTACCGCAGCGACTGCTATGTCCCTGCATTCTAAATTTGTAATATCTTCGAAAATATTCATTTAAATTACATGTTGTAAAGGACCATATTGATCTATATTCAATGCACAATGTATTTAAAGTACTTAATTGGATAAGAATTAATGCTGTATTGCTTACAATCGCTTCGTAAATAACTCATTATTTCTTATAAAAAGTAAAGGATAAAAATGGTTATTGTGAGTTATCTCTCAGAGATAGACATATACCATCGCGGACTTTTTTGTAGACCCTTTCAAGATGTACAATATTGTAGTACATTATTTTGATCTATCTCGTAGGGTTCAGCCAGCGTTTGCAATGTAAGCGCAAAAAATGTGTTTATTTACGACATCACATTAGAAACCTCTAAAATTATATTAATAAAAACACTTCTTAGACAAAGACGTTTATTTAGCATAAAAAGACGAAAGAATCTAATCGCAATTTTTCTAGGGGTAGTATTTACATATATTTGGCAACTGCCCCCAGTGATGTTTAATTTTCATCTCATTGTGTGTATATATAGTCACGGTTAGCAACATCACCAGCACCTGAAAAATAAAGTTTAAGTAATATGCTTTTCGCTTTTAAATAGCTATTAGCATTGGCTATAAAGTGTTTAGCTTCACGCATGCTACCGATTTGGTCCCACTGCTGCCCATCCTATTGTTACCCATGCCTTGTAATAGTTACATTCGATACCGCCAGATTAAAGCAGGAATTACCCATTAATAAATAATTTAATATGTACATAATAATTTTTTTTGTATTTTGAATTTATAAAATCGTTTCATGCATATAGAAGTGCTTCATATTATTAAATTTTTTTAAACCATGACAAACGCCGTCACTGTTTTCTAATTATTTAATGTCTCGTTTCTCCTATTTCTCTGTTTCCTTGGTTTTCTGTTCGGAGACAAATTTGAGCTCCGCCCCAGCGTGAAGCATCCTCCAAGTGTTTTGAAACCTGCATGATGTTTGAGCGCGTTTTTCACTCATTACCCTCAAATTAATCATAAGGATAATTGCCACTACTTCAGGTAAAATATTTCCGAGCAGCAATGGGATTAGATCGTTCTATCTACTTATAAATAAATCTAATATTCGATTTTCTATTTACCTTCCGTTCCGATTAAAATCAAATTTTGCAAATATATGAGAAGTGAATTTTCTAATTTGACCCCACCCCCCTTTATCTTCATAAGAAGTAATATTTTGAAAATCAAAAATAATGGTTTGTTATGAAATATTAATCTGAAAATTCGTTTTTGAATTTTTTTACCCACTACACTACCTCAAATTAATAAGGGAAAAATTTTTGCTGTTGTCACACCCCCGCCGCGAATCGAACCCGAGACGCACCAATGTTCTGACCACTAAACTAATTCCCTCATTAATTTGAGGTTGCGTGTAGTGGGTAAAAAATTCAAAAATGAATTTTCAGATTAATATTTCATATTAAACCAACTCACTTCTAAAAGTTGTCTAAAATTGTATGTATGTGTGACAACAGCAAAAATTTTACCCTTATTAATTTGAGGTAGCGTGTAGTGGGTAAAAAAATTAAAAAATGAATAAAAGTAGATAAATTAATTTGAATAAAGGAATAAAAAAAAAAGAAAAATAAAATAAAATAAAAGGAAAACAAAATACTGGTATGCAAGGGAAGAAATAGAAGGGAAAGAGCGAATAGGAGACGAAAAATTAGAAGTGGCTGATTTTAGGTATCTAGGAAGTCAGATAAGTTAGGACGGAAGAAGTAGGGATATAAAACAGAAGATAGTGCAGGGTCGAGTAACCTTCAATAAAAAGAAGTCACTTCTATGCTTGCGAAAGGTTAATTTTGAAATTCGAAAAAGAATATTAAAGGTGTATGTTTGGAGCAAGGCGTTGTACAGGTGCGGAACACGGACGGTGGGCGCAGCGGAGAGGAAAAGGTTAGAAGCGTTCGAAATGTGGTGTTACCGGCGAATGAGAGGATACCGTAGATAGAGAAGGTTAGAAAGAATAGGAGAACAGAGGAACCTATCGAAGTCAATAAGAAATAGGCGAGATAGGTTGGTAGGACATGATGGTCTAGTCAGGGACATATTAGAGGCGGAAACGGGAGTTTGAGGGGTACAAATCGTAAATAGTTAAGGATGTGGGTTGTTCTAGTTTTGGGGAAATGCGAAGATTAGCCCAGGATAGGAAGGAGTGGAGATGCGTGTCCAACTAGTGTTAGGAGTGACGACCTTATGAATTCATTATATTTGATAATTTACACCAAGGCACAAAGAACTGAATTCTTACCTTCGACTTCCGCTTTCGAAATAACTCCGGGAAGGCTCGCTGAAACAAAAAAAAAGAAGCCATGTTATTTAGAAAAGGGCAACGCAAATTTGAATAAGTTCATTTAATTTCTTATTTACCTCCGTTTGCGCCGTAGTCTGAGTAATCGCCACCGAAGTCATCCCCATTATCATCGTAATCATCAGCTGAAAACAGACCAGGTTGTAGGTATCATAAATGTTTATCTAATTATGCTGTTAAATAGTACAAATTCCCCTCCATACTTAATTGTTTACGTGAATTATATTTTAGCTGTCTATAAATTTCGTTTAAATGTACTTCCAATTGCAAAGCCTTTTATTTCCCCATAAGAAAGTCATGATATAGTTCAGCATCCATCTTATTTCTAATGATTTTCTGCTTTTATATTTATCGGAACATGATACGACAATTTTACATTTTCGAAAGTAGAAAAATTAATTTGAATACGAAAATCAGTAATGAAGCATGAGAATTGTATGTGCACATTTGACATAAAATAGAACAGCAAATACGTATAACGCCTAGGGGTGCCACCTTTTCAGGCTTTACATAAAGTATTTTTCGACTAAAAGGTTAAAAAAAAAAGTACTCAGCATAAAAATAAAGTATTTTATTTTTTGTTTTTAAAAACATATTTTTTGTTACACCTAGCAGCCAGTAACAAATTGCTGTCGCTCTTAAATACATTAATATCTTCTAAACATGGCAAACAAAGATTTAAGTAAACTAAAAGTCCATTTTTAATTAGTTTTAATAAAGCTTTATTCCTGTCGTCCCGCCACTTTGTGTTCATAACAGAGAATACTCTTTCTGTAAATGCTGAAGTGGCCGGAACGGACACCGGACAGCAAAAGTGACACTACTTTGAACAGATTTGGGAAATCACGTTGTTCCGTAAATATGGCTTGCCAATTTTCTGTGCAATATTATTGATGTAAAAGTACTCTGAATTTCGAATAATCGCTTACAAAATTACGATGATTACTTAAGGCCTTAAATAAAGTATTTTTGCGTACTTTATGTGTCTTGTAAAGTATAACGTACGCACAGTCGAAATAGAGTACAATACTTTATAATAAAGTACGGGTGGCAACCCTAATAATGCCTGGCTTTTTTAATTTTTGCTACCTAGTTGATTTTTAATGCTCTATTAGAGCATGGTAAGGAGTGACTAATTCTTACCTTTTGTATTCCTTCGATGTGGGGGAGTATGAGCTGAAACAAAAAAAAAAAGAAAATGTTATTTAGAATAGGGTAACGAGATTAAATTTATCCAATTTTACTCACCATTGTTTGCGCCTGGCGGTGTATAATCAGGAGAAATCTTGGATTCATCGTCTTTATCTGAAAACAAAATAAATAAGTTGTAGATATAGCAACAAATTGATACAAATTATAGACAGTGTAGTATAATTGGCGTCTATTGCTATTTATTGCTACAACAACAGTAGTATCGTTCGAAATCGTGACCCAGGTCTGTTAATATCGATAAATTACTGATCAAAAACTTTTTGATTTGCAGGTCTATCACGTATGTCAGTTTTACAACTTTAAATCTTCATAAACCCCTTGAAATACTACAGTTAGCAGTAAATATCAAAAAATGATGGTACATGGTACTACTCATAACTTGATTTAATATAGCCTTTCTGTTGTCTATTATGATTCAAATCTTTTCTTATTTATTTCTCATCATGTTCATCATTGTACGCAATCAATTTGTAAATGAATGTGGTTTTGATCACATCAAAAAATACATAACAAGACACTTAAAAGTAGAAAAATTAATTTGAATACGAAAATCAGTAATGAAGCATGGGAATTGTATGTGCTCAAAATAAGGAGATACTTTGAAAACATCATCCCTTTTAGCTGAAAATAGAGTAAGTTGTAAGTTTTATAAATGTTTAACTAATCACACCTATACTTTTCGGTCGTAGATAGTTATTTTCATTAAAAGTAGTAAAGTAAAAAAATTAATTTGAGTAAAGGAATGAATAATAAAGAAAGATGATTTTATTTGCATCAATTACTTTTCTGATATACAATGCAATTATATCGAATTAATTTATTTTATACCGTTTATTGTAAAGTTTTCATGCAAATTGCATTCCTCTCTTTCATGGTATTTGATAATTTACACCTAAGTAAGAGAAGAACTGAATTCTTACCTTCGACTGCCGCTCTCGAAATATGTTCGGGATCGTTCACTGAAAGAAAAAGAAGCAATGTTATTTAGAAAAAGACAACGCAAGTTTGAATAAGTTCATTAATCATATTTGCCTCCATTTGCGCCATAGTCTGAGTAATCACCAGCGAATGGAAGTTCAGTTAAAAACAGACTAAGTTACAGGTATCGTAAATGTTTATCTAATTATATGTTCTTTTTTCTGATATACAAAAATAGGCGAGATAGGTTGGTAGGACACCTTCTTAGGCATGAAGGTCTAGTCAGAGATATTAGAGGCAGAAACAGGAGGGGTAGAGGTTAACCTAGATTAGATTACTGTTCGCAAATAGTTTAGGATGTGGACTGTTCTAATTTTAGGGAAATGCGAAGTTTAGCTCAGGATAGGAAAGAGTGGAGGTACGTGTCCAACCAGTCTTAGGACTGACGACCTTATGATGATGATGATACCAGACGCGGATTGCCATTTCGAACATATTAGTTCTCATCAGCACGTCATAATCACTTCGATAAATTACCGACTAAACTGAAGATGAACAGTAGCTTTAATACCCAATAATATAGAGACCATTTACAGAACAATATTAAGTTAGATTGCCTAATTTACCTAATAGAGTATGTATGCGCTGAATATTGTAACTATATATCGTGTAAATTGCAATAAAAGCACAAAATCGAAGTATAATTTCTCTCTCTCTTTCTCTCTAAGAGGGAGAGAGATGTCGATTAACACATTAGACTTTTGGTTAGCATTGTCAAGCTTGGGCAAGACAGACCTAGGGATTTTAGAACTTTAGTTTTAATTATTTAATTTAATTTTTCTGTCAAAGTAATTCTGATTGCACTTTAAAATTTTGTTTAAATAGATTTTTCGACTGTAAGGATCATCGGGGAAATATAAAGAATTTTCGGCAAAATAACTGGGAAATAAAAAAAATTCAACTTCGTTCCAAAAACCGATAAAGATGCTTGAGAATTTTATTTGCATGCTTCACTTTTTTGGCGTAAAATGAAAAAGAAGCGCTCAAAATTATATCGTTAAGTGTCAAATTTTATGCAAATATGTTCTTTTACACCACGGCATGAAGCGGTAAATTCTTACCGATGTAGAATCAGAGTCACAAAAAGAGATAAATAATTTATTTAGTTTAAAACCAGGTCCGACTTTTCGCCTAGTGTCTGATGTTTTTTCAAGGATAGATTTAGGCGTTAATATTATAAATATGGTACAACTGTTGTTGGTATCGTTATAAATTAAATAGTTTAATAGAGGCTAGTGATATAAATAAAACGATAAATACGAATAAATAATTATTATCAGACAATTGTAATATATAAATGAACCAATAAATATAAAATTAGCAAATTAAAAGCCACGTGGCGGACACATCAGCGTTCAAAATTAAAATCTTTTCAATTGGCTTTTAATTTGTTAATTTTATATTTACTGTTTTATATATATACAATTTAATTGTTTCGTCGTATTTATCATTTTATCAATATCACTAATGTCTATTAATACATTTAATTTATATCTGGAGATATCAGGCGCTAAAGATACGTAAAAACATTTTTCGCTTTACTTAAAATCTGAGTGCTGATTTTTATATATTGTTTCGCAGAATATTGTAAAAAATTAATAATCAACACTGCCAGATACTTCCCATGGGCGGTAATTTCTGTCAGGCGCTTCAAAGTTTTGCAGAAAAAGATCGTAATATTATTTATAATCTGAGTCTTAATTTTTAAATATGATATAAGAGAACTATTTCAATACTTTTTGTAAGTAGTCAGAGCAATTGTAGGGATCAAACACCCTCCAGACCCAATTAAAATGTCGCTGTGAGTATAAACTCGAGCGTGATGATTTGATGGTGACTTTTAATTGTGTCTGGGGCCCCTACAATTGGTATATCTGCTTACAAAAAGTATTGAAATAGTTCCCTATGTATCATATTTAAAAATGAAGACTTACACTAGAAGTTTGAAGCGTTTGACGGAAATTGCCGCCGGTAGGAATATTCCAATATTCCTTCTGTCTTCATTTCATCCGTCTCATCTTTCTCACACGAACCTCCACCCACCCGTTCCTACGATTCCTGAAAAGAGGCTGAACAGGGCTTTCCGCCCTACCTTCCCGCGTAGTCCGGAGGGACTGCCCGCCTACCAGCATTAGTGGCTGGTGGGAATGAAACACCCAAAAAATTTTAAGATACCAGCAACAGTTGTACTATACTAGGGTCAATTGAAAAGTCCCCGGCCTGACACATAGATGGCGGCACCAGAACTAAATCCATACGATTTTCAGTTAGTCCTAACCTTCAAAAGACGCGTCTATAAATTTGACGGCTGTCGGATCATTAGTTTGTGAATTATAGCATTTTTAGTGAAGCAACTTTTGTTATTGTGAAAAAAATGGATAAAAAGGAATTTCGCGTGTTGATAAAATATTGCTTTTTGAAGGGAAAAAATACAGTTGAAGCAAAAACTTGGCTTGATAACGAATTTCCGGACACTGCCCCAGGAAAATCAACCATCAAGGATTGGTATGCTAAGTTTAGACGTGGTGAAATGAGCACCGAAGACGGTGAACGCAGTGGACGCCCAAAAGAGGCTGTTACGGACGAAAACATTAAAAAAATCCACAAAATGATTTTGAATGACCGTAAATTGAAATTGAATGAAATAGCAGACACTCTACAGATATCAACGGAACGTATACATCACATCATTCACGAATATTTGGGTATGAGAAAGCTCTGTGCAAAGTGGGTGCCGCGCGAGCTCACTTTTGACCAAAAACAACGACGAGTTGATGATTCAGAGCAGTGTTTGAAGATGATCACGCGTAATAAACCCGAGTTTTTGCGTCGATATGTGACAATGGATGAAACATGGCTCCATCATTTCACTCCGAAGTCCAATCGACAGTCATCGGAGTGGACTGCACACGATGAACCCGCTCCAAAGCGTGCAAAAACGCAACAGTCGGCTGGCAAGGTTATGGCGTCTGTATTTTGGGATGCGCGTGGAATAATTTTCATTGACTACCTTGAAAAAGGAAGGACCATCAACAGCGACTATTACATAGCGTTATTGGACCGTTTGAAGGACGAAATCGCCGAGAAACGACCGCATTTGCAGAAAAAGAAAGTCCTGCTTCACCAAGACAATGCACCGTCTCACAAGTCAGTGAAAACGATGGCAAAAATTCATGAATTGGGCTTCGAATTGCTTCCGCATCCACCGTATTCTCCAGATCTGGCCCCCAGCGACTACTTCCTGTTCTCAGATCTCAAAAGAATGCTCGTTGGGAAAAAATTTTCGTCGAATGAAGAGGTGATCGCCGAAACTGAGGCCTATTTTGAAGCAAAGGACAAATCGTAATACAAAAATGGTATCGAAAAGTTGGAGGATCGCTATAATCAGTGTATCACCCTTGAAGGGAATTATGTTGAATAAAAAAAACGAATTTTGCAAAAAAAATGTGTTTTACTATTTTAGGCCGGGGACTTTTCAATTGACCTGTTATGTGTCATATTAACACCTAAACATATCCTTGAAAAAAACTAAGAACAAAAGGCGAAACGTCAGACCTGGTTTTGAACTTAATAATTTTTTTATTTATCCCTTATCATGACTTTGATTCAGCATCTAGAATAAATTTAAGGAAGCAATAGATATCGTAAATTCTCACATTGTATTTTAAAACCGTGGTGGCCAGGATCATGACCTGAAACAAAAAGAAAAAATGTTATTTAGAATAGGATAACGCGATTAATCTCATTCAGTTTTACTTACCATTGTTTGCGCCTGGATTTGTGTAATCAGGAGAGGCGCTCGAATTATCATCTTTTGTAGCAAAATCATTAGCTCTCAAGGGTTCAGCTGAAAACATAACAAATTATAATATATACTAGATTTTACCTGCGGCTTCGTTTGCGTTGATGACCTAAGATACGTGTCAAAGATCATCGACTGTCACATAAAATAATTTTTTTTATCCCTCGGAAACGGTATTTTTTCTGGATAAAAGGTACCTACCCTTTCTCCATTTATGTACCCCTCACGTGTGTCTGTTACCGGAAATGTACTAAATTCGTTATTGTATAAAATTCCTAGGAAATGTTAATAATTCCTAAAGTCGCCCGGAAATATGTCAAATAAATTATATTAGACACATTTCCTAGGAAATCTATACATTATTATGTCCCAAGTAAAACACACCGAAACTAAAATGATGGCGTCCTCTAGGATAAAGCACTCCGGACGTAAACTAGTCCCCCATTCGGATGTCCGGGCGGGGACTACTTTGGGGTATGTCATCAATAAGTGCAATAAAGGTAGATGCAATATTTCAGTAGGGAAATTGGAAAATTTAAAAGTAGATATGAATAGACTAGAATTAGAAATAGTAAGCGTTAGTGAAGTCCGTTGGCCCCAAGCTGGAGACTTCTGGAGTGGAGACTTTAGAATAATACAAATAGGATCGGTGGAAGGTAGGTAATCCGGGGGTAGGAATTGTAATGCGCAGGAAAGTAGGGCAGAGTGTAGAAAGTTATTTACAAAAAAGCGATAGGATAGTTATGGTTAAATTATACTCAAAGCCGGTAAGAACGGTATTAGTGCAGGTCTACATGCCTACATCATCTTACAGTGATGAAGACGTAGAAGCGGTTTATGCAGATACAGAAGACGTGTTAAGTTTAGTCAAAGGGCAGGAAAACCTAATAATTGTAGGAGACTTCAACGCAGTAATAGGTAAAGGTAAAGTCGGTGCAATAGCAGGTTCTTTTGGATTAGGCAATAGAAATGATAGGGGAAATAGACTGATAGAATTTTGCGATAGACATAACTTAACCGTCGCGAATATTTTATTTAACCATCACGTTAGGAGGCGCTATACGTGGAAGATGCCAGGTGATTTAGGGAGATTAATTAAGATTAAGATTAATCAAGTGAAAGACTGTAAGAGTTATCCAGGAGCAGATATAGATAGCGATCATAACTTAGTTGTTATGAAGATCAATCTTAAATTGAAAATTCTGAAAAAGAGGGGAAGGTGGGAGACGCCTTTATCAGATAAGCTAAAACGTAAGACAGACGAAATACTAAAGGCGGCGGGTGAAACTTGCCTAAAGTCAGCAGCTACAGATAGACTAGGTCTTAAGCAAAACTAAAGTAGGAAAGCCTGGATAACAAATGGGATTGTAGGATTAATAGAAGAAAGGCGGAAATATAAAAACAGGACAGACGAAGAGGGGCAAAAAATATTTAAGGCTATAAACTAGGAAATAATTAGGAAGTGTAGGACAGCTAAGAAACAGTGGTGATAAGATGTGTAAAGAAGTAGAAGAAAAGTTTGAAGTAGGTAAAACCGATAATATAATTAAAAGCAATTTTACGGATGTAGGGTACAGTAGTAATAATATAAGAAAAGAGGCAGGGGTCATTTTGATAGAAAATGAGGAAAAGACAGATAGGTACAAAGAATATTTAGAGAACCTATACGCAGGACATGCGTTAAGAGATATTAGAGAAGAAGATAGTGTGGAGATAGATGAGCTTGGTTATCCCATAATGAGAGATGAGTTCGATGTAGCATTAAAAAACTTAAAGAATAATAAGGAGCCAGGTGTAGATGAGATACAGGGGGAAATCGGGTTATAGTTTCTTAAACTTTATCTTTTTTCGTTACCTGGTTACACCTTTTTTTTTAAACTTTATTCCTTAGCCTTTTTTACCTAAATTTCTTTATATTGACCGAATTTTCCTTATATTTAAAAATTCCCGATGCCTAGTAACGCTGACCGAAAATCGAACGTATAAGTGACATCTCTCTCTCTCTGCTTGTAGTTAGAGAGAGAATTGACAAGGTTAACTCGAGTGGTCTGCCATATGGGGAATATGTTTAATATGAGTCTTTTTAAAAAGCTTCGGTTAGTAGCTCCCAACGATCCTAAAGTTGCCATTTCGAAATATTGTGGGTAGATAGGACTTAGAGAATGCATGTGTTAGATGCGAGGAATCTCACGACACCTCACAATTTATTTTAAACTTTTACAAACTTACAGACTACTTTTTTTAATTTTCCTTTACGCGGGGTAAGAAATAATAAATAAAATTTACTTACGATTGTCTGCATTCAAGTTAGGTCTGGTAAAGACACCTAAAAAAAATTATATTGTTAAGAAAAAGAAAAAGGATTAAGAGAAGAAAACATAAAAAAGTGAAAAAAATATGGGGTGTTCTAAGGAAATTGTTTGAAATTGAAGATAAGTTTAAAAAGACGTTTTGCAAGTTTGCATAATGGTAAAAAAGGTAATTTTATTAAATCGTAAATCACGGTTTCTAATCCTTCTAATTTTTTCTTTCTTATGTCACTCTTCACATAAGTAGTGTTACTTAAAAAAGTTAATAATTAGGTACCTCGTACTTACCAGAAATGCAAACAAGTGCAAAAAAGAATAGAATGGTTTTAGGCATTTTGTTGATTAACACTATTCACGCTTGATGAATAAGTATCTGTTTTGCTGCTTATATACCAAAAATTATTGATCAGTTGTTCTGATAAATAAACTGTAAAATTAATTAAATATACGTTTGCTGTCTGTTGACTGTTTTGTCTGATAAAGTATAATCTAAGTGCCTATTANGTGGAGTAAACGCAATCAGAAGAGAAGCATCGTTTAGGAATGATTAGCAACTGCATAAAAACTTTTGAAATGTGTTCTACACAAGTTAAAGTTCAAAGTCTACCGGTTGGTGTTGTACGCTAAACCTCTTTTTTGTTTATTTTAACAAAAAACTGCAAAATTAGTTGTTAAAAGATATATCTCGAAAATTAATTAAGCAAAACTCATGAAAATCAGGTTCTAATGGTTTGTGGTTATGCCGATTACTAATTTGATATCTGATTTGAAAAATTCAAAATGGCGGATACAAAATGGTCGACCAAAACGTAGAAAATGTGCGAAAAAAAATGTACTTTCGATTCGCATTTGGTAGTTGTTATCATATATTATTGTCGTATTTTTCTCTAATTTTTCAATTATTTGCGATTTTTTTAAAAAGACATTTAATCTGATACGTTAATTTCATATTGTTGTTGCTCAATTTAAAAACGCCATAATAGTCACTATGTATGCATGTGTAACTACTACGTAAAATTATTAATTGTGGTAAACTTAATTTTTTATTCAAAACTCTTGCAATTGTCCAAAAATCGTGTTTTTACCGATTTTCCCGTTTTTTCTGTTTAACTGTTATTACATTCGACAAAAAAATAAAACCAAGAAATATTTTTCAAAAATGTTTGACACTCTTAAGAATGATGCAGTTTTTGCATATGCCAAATGAAGTTTCATAATTTAGCTTATTTTTTTTTGTATTATATCACTTTTGATATCAATTCCATTAGCGCAGACGAACGAGAGGAAAAACATCGAAAATTTTAATTAATTCGATGTAGATATAAAGTGATAGGATATCAAATTTTTAAAAAATAAAACTATTTTGTCATCAGTGTCTTTTTTCCTATTAAAACCGATGACAAAGGCAAATAAAGAAGCATATAGAAGAATTATTTGCTGCTGAGCTGAAGATAGTACCTATAATATAAAGTTAGAAAAACTATATCTCAATCACTTCAAACAGAAAAATATGAATCATCCTCAACCTTCGCAGCTAGTGATATAGTGCAAATTCCTTCAAGGTTTTCTTCAAAAATATTTTATGCTTACGTAAATGTTGAACATTAAGGTATATACTACGAAAAAGTATTTATTTGAAAAAATTATTTTGAAAATGCGTATTTTGCATTTAGCATTTAAAATACAAAAGGGAAATCTATTTTGTATTTTACATTTAATATAACAAATCAAAAAAGTATTTGCATTTTGTATTTAAATACTTTTAAAAAACCATTTTGAACATCTCTTAGAATGATGTAGCTATGCTCGAGTTTTCAAAAAATTCGAAGATTGACTCGAGATAGGAAGAAGTGAAAAATCGTGTCCAACCGGTCTTCAGCCTGAAGACCCTATGATGATGATAATCAGTTGAATGTTCCTTAATCAAAGAACTAAAACACAATTTCTTTCATCATTGAACAATATCATCATCTTCTTTTTTTTTTCCTGAAATGGAGGGTAGAAACCACTAGGTGCGTTTATTTTTACAAGCTATTAAACGTCACACTTAAATGCCACCATCGTCAAAAAAAGTCTGTACAGGGATGTTTTGTGTAAAATTACTGATTGTTAGTCAGGCGTTAGAAACCTCTTCAACCGTCGGTGATTAAATTTTGGAAATTAGTTTTACTGGCTTTTTACTGACGATTGGTTTCATAACATAATTGTTAATTTTTCAGTCAGCGGCTCTTATGACATAAGTACTATTGTACTTGTTATCGCTGTTTTACGATTACATTGTTACATGGGTATTATTTTTTGTAGGTAGATAATTCCATTTAAAAAGACGATATTTTGGTATAAAAAAGGCACGTGTAGACGATCTACTGTTTATCTCTTACAAAAAATGCGGTTTTTACCTAAACTTCTACTTAACTCATTACATTTTGTTTAATTTTTAGAATGCTCCACAAAAATTACCAAGAGATAGTGAATTTTGTGGCGGCCAGAATTTTTTGTTAAAAATAATTAATTCAGTACATCGTTATATGTAATATACTTAAAAATGTAGGGATGAATTACAAAGATAGAAGAGTGATACTTAGTTTGTATAAAGAGCAACAGGCAGTTATAGAGCTGGGGATGCAACGTAGAGAAGTAAATATTAGGAAGGGAGTCAGGCAGGGATGCACACTGTCACCGCTACTTTTTAATCTATACATCGAAGACGCCATCAACATCATTAAAGACAGTACAACTGTAGGGATAGATGTGCAAGGGCAAAAGATTAGTATGCTTAGATTTGCAGATGATATAGCAGTATTAGCATCTAGCAAGGAGGACCTAGAGATAGCTTTAAATAAAATGGAAGCGGTACTGACAGATCAGTACTGTATGAAAATAAATAAAAGTAAAACTAAAATACTGATATGCAAGGGAAGAAAAAGTAGGGAAAGAGCGAATATAAAGATAGGAGACGAAAAATTAGAAGAAGTGGCTGATTTTAGATACTTAGGAAGTCAGATAAGTGAGGATGGAAGGAGTAGTAGGGATATAAAGCAGAGGATAGCGCAAAGTCGTGTCGTCTTTAATAAAAAAAAAGTCACTTCTATGCTCGCGAACGGTTAAATTAGAAATTCGAAAAAGGTTGTTAAAGGGGGATGTTTGGAGCACGGCGTTGTACGGGTGGATAGAGAAGGATAGAAATGAAGAGGTATTAGAAGAAATAGGAGAAGAGGGGACTTTATAAAAGTCAATAAGAAATAGGCGAGATAGGTTAGTAAGACACCTTCTCAGACATGAAGGTCTAGTCACAGAGACATATTAGGGGCAGAAACGGAAGTTAAGAGGAGTAGAGGTAGACCTAGATTAGATTATTGTTCGCAAATAGTTAATTATGTGGGATGTTCTAGTTTTAGGGAAATACAAAGATTAGGTCAGGATAGGAAGGAGTGGAAGTGCGTGTGATGAATATGATGATAATCAGGGGTGCAACAAGGGGGGGACCCACTCGATTGGGTTGGGCACCCAGTCAATTCCAGTCGA